TTAGGCCTGTCGGTGTTTGCTGCTTCAGTGGAAATAATTTGTGAGGCTGGGTTCTCTCTTCCTCAAAATCCCCCCTGCTGGAAGTAGCTCCCTTGGCATCTCTGCTCACTGCTCTGTGTGGCCAGAGCCGATGCTCATGGCAGAACCTGGACACAGATGTGACAGAGCCAGTCCTGGCTGCACATCACTCCAAGTAAGGAGTGAAAGCTCCTTGTAAAACAGTCAGAAGTGCAGTGAAACCCAGCTGAAAGTTCAGCCTGTTCCATAGCTGCCATGTCGCAGCTGATGCCTTTTTAAACCATGGGTAGTTACATAGAATGACCAATGCAACTCAATCCTTCCTCCCATTCATGGCACATGGCCCAAGCTACCTTCAGTAAAAGAACCTAAAAATGATTCTGTAACACCTCAAAGACTAAAGGACTGACTTTAGACATAATATAAAAAATAAGAAATGTTAGCAAAATGAGATGTGTGTATTGATTAAAATTAGAAATTAGTACAGTTAATTGCAATGACACATCATTTGTTTCTCTGCTGCTCCCCAGGAGGTCAGCTTGCTTCCTGAACGTTTTGAGGAAAGGTTACCACACCAAGCACATGGAGACTGTGAGGGTGCCTTCCCAACAGCAGAACAAGGGGACAAGGGCTTCAGCAGCAGCAGATTCAGGTGTAAAAGGCACCACTCTTCTTCTTGGGGGCCAACTTTCCCACAATGACTGTTCAGACAAATTACTGATAACTCTCCTAATGCTGATAGAGTCAAACTTGGTTCTTCTCTTTCCACACCACTTTAAGCACCTCAGCTGAAGTCCACAATGAACTAAAGACTGTGTCTCCACTCAGGGCAGTGAGAACACGAGTGCTCAGTCCAGCTGTTTGGCTGCTTGTCTTCGTAACCACGGCAGCTTCCTGTGTGTTAAAAATATGCCCTCTTTATTCCCTCTTTATAGTGATTTCCCAGTCCTAAGATACTCTTAAAACACATTTTTATTCACTGTAGATCAAGAATCTAATATTTATTCTTGTACTTCCCTTTAATTAGAATGAGAACAGACCACATAGACCCTGCTGCCTCCAGGGGCAGCCCCGAATGGTGCCAGAGACGGAGCAGCCACAGCGCAGCGTGCGGGAGGTGCAGGCGGTGAGGGGAGGTTGCTACACTTCGGGTTTTCAGCAAAGATACTGCAGACTCAGAGGAAAGTATTTGAAGCGTGAGATTAAGTAAAGTTCCAATCAACTCACTTGCAGGACGAGACAGAAAGGACTCGGAAGGCCTGGAGTGGGCTAACGGGAGCTTGGGCAGCAGAGGCAGGTACTGTGAGCTGCACATGTGGCTGCACCAAACGGGATGCACAAGCACTTTTCACACCCAGCAGTGGGAGCTGGACGTGCTGCCCAGGTATTTCACCTTTCCAGTGCAGGTCAAAGTGACCCCAGGAATGCAGAGGCCATTCATTTTACAGATCATTATTTTAGCCCCAGATCAACTAAATTGCACTGGGGATAGTTTAAACCCTTCTTATCCAGAGGGATAAATTCCTGCAGTGGTAGGGAAAAACTGCACTGAAGCATTTGCTGCAGAAGCCACAGACTGTGGGAGGTAGAGAAGTGTTTGCTGGTGTCAGTGTGAAGAATGACACAAGCAGGAGGATGTAAACTGTGTGGCAGGAACAGGGTTCTACCCTTCAGTAAAGTAAACTGAGCCTCTTGCCAGCAGCTCATGATGTGTCCTGGAGAAGAACCAGGGTTAAAAAGATGGAAAGAAGAGAAAAGAGGGCAAAAAAGTCCTTCTTAAAATGTCTAGGTTTATCTCTTCACGCTGTATTTAATGTTATGGCCCTTTCTAATGGTAACTTATAAAATTTCATTTTAAAAAACAGCAACAGTTATGTAATTAGCCCTGGCTTTCTGAAGTGAAAAAAGTAATAAAAAAAATCCTAATTCATCTACTTTTAATTACAGTCTCTCCTTCCAAGCATTACTAAGTCACTGTGAAGACCATAAGCATGTACACATTCCTATTTTGATTTGTGCTTTTTTCCTCATTTTCATTTAGATGAACTTTTTTACTACAGCTGCCTAAGCTTTGGTTTTTACCTTCCAATAGAAAAAAAAACCAAAACAATTGTATAGAAGTGCTCTGATTATGTGGGTTTTTTTAACAGCTAGAAAGAAAACATAGTTTGGAACCCAGAGTATCCTGGACGCACATTCTCCATCATAGTATATTGGATAAATTGACTTTTGCTTCCAGAGCAGGCATTCAGCTTCTTCATTAGTATAATGATCCTTAGTCTTCTCTTCCCATATTTAGATAATTTGAATGAAAAATAAGTTTTATGAAATGCAGCTATCAATACTGTCTAAAAGCTCAAGTTGTGATTACATATCACTTAGTGATGCTATCCCTCTCTACTGCAGATCAAAATATATTTATTCAGCATTCCTAAGATCAAATATCCTTTTGCTTTGCTTGACAAGAACAATCCAATGTGCTGTCGAGTACGAAAGTGACAAGTTTTTCTAATGTGCAATCCCCTCATATTCTGTATTATGTATGAACTCAGACAAAATACCTGCATTATCTTAAATAAACTAGGCAAAATGTATTTCAAAAAGTTTCTTGAGTCAAAAAGTAGCAAATCATTGTATGTATTTTCCATATTTGTATAGTTTTCATTATATTCTCGTTCTAAGTTTCTCTTAAGTCTTTTCATATTTAAAAAATGAACTACACACCTATCATGCAAAATGTAAAGAAGTATGTTCAACTAGTTCAAATTAGATATACAGTAAAAATACACTTCCAAAGAAATATCATTTCCATTTTTGTTCATGTTTTTAACAGAATTTCAGACTAATACATCAAATGTGGAACTGTACAAGTATGTGAAGAAACATTAGGATCGCAGTAGTAAAAAAATGTACAGCATTCAAAACCAACAAGCTCTAAACAACCAAACAATACCACAGGATTGAAACAATCATGGGGACAACATAGGTCATTGGAGCCAGTGAGTGAATCCTAATGCACCTACATAAAGACCCAACATAGAATATTGTCTCTTATTTATATGCAAAATCCCTGATTTGATTAAACCAGACAATTTCTCTAATTGTCTCTTATAGGTTTTAGATAAGATTAACATGAGAGTATTCCCCTTCATGAATGTCAGTTATGTGAAAAGGCAATATTGAGAATTGATTTGAAAGGTATTTCCATCCATGTGGATTCAGGTAGTTGAAATACAAGACCACAAATCATAGCACTGCAATTCAAAGAACCATTGGAATTGTTACCCGCTACATTTGCTGTGACACCTAAGAATTGAGGAGTCAGTTTTCTAAAACTGTTCACAGGTTAATACACAGGGGTTTTAATTATGGGCTGTATCCATTTAACAGTGGACCAACATTGCCTTTAAAATTAAGAAAAGATTCAGTTAAGCATGTAAAAAAAACATAAAATCTGCAAGGTAATTGACAATGAGCAAAACATTACATACAGCAGGGTCTGTGTCTGAATGTCTTTGGAAGGCAGATAGATATACTCTTTTACAGTCCACTGACCAGCACAATTTCCTTATTCAACATTTCTATTATGAGGAAAAATGTCTTGGACAAAACTTTAACAGCTATTAATTCAAAACAAATTATCTTTTTAAATGTTTCATCATTGTGCATAAATTCAATGAACTATAGTCTGTTGGGTTAGTAATCAGAATGTAACCCCTTTCACAGATCTTAACTAGTTATCAATTTTTAGGGCAACCTTTCTTTCGGATAACTCATCTGTGAGGTGTTTTTAAGTTGAAGTGTAAAAAAGGTTATTAAATGACCTAATTATGTCAGCATTTCTATCCCATGGTCCTCATGGCCTCAGATCTGTCACTGGTCTCCATAGCAATTTGCCTTGCACAAGAATCACAAATTTTGAGCTGAGAAAAACTGCTCTTAAAACCAAAACATTGTTACCAAAGGGACTGGCCTACTAAATCATCTTCAATGCACTGAAAAGGGCAAAGAACATGAATCTTAACACCTATCTTACTGTTTATTTGGAGTAATCTTTTGGCAATTTCAATCCAATGGAAAAGATGGGTCAGTCCCAGCTGGCCATATCCAGTCTAACATTTGACTGAAATAAACTGACTGCAACAGGTCTGAAAAGGAACAACCATCTGCATCTTATGCACCCCTCCAATTCCATAAACCTGCCGGGCAAACAGCAGAGTGGATACTCATAAATATTTAAACTTTGCTGAGGTATTTCTTGAACTACAGAAAAGCGTCTTTAAAAACAATAGGAGAAAACTATCTGCACAGATTTCTGGGGGACAAGGAATTCAATTGAATGGAAAGGTCCATAATTATTAAAGGAATAACCACTTTTCTTAGTATCAATAATATTATCTCCCTTGGCTTTTTATTCCTTTGATGCATTACCAAAAAATTGTAAGGCTGTGACTTTATAAAATGTAATTTTGCCTCGACTTTGCCCACCAGTGTTGTAAAATAACCTAAAAAACTTCTGTCTTTTTCCTAGAGAAAACATCACCTAGTGTGCACCTCTGTAACGAGTTCACTGTGGCCACACAGCTGTGGGATACCCCACTTTCCCCCTCCATGAGGTGGGACAAGCCATCTCTTGCACAAAAGCAAGATTGCTTTCCTGAACTCTAGCTGAAGTCAAGTTTCTTTCACACAGCAAAATTAAGCATATTTTTTCAGTTTGAATTTTAACATTATCTGATAACTTCTACCTGCAACTAGCAGTTATTTATTTCTCTACAATGAAGATACCTAGATTGTTGTACAAGCTGGGTTTCTCACCCATAGATACTTCAGGAACAGGAGGAATGTACCCATCATATTTAGAGTTTATCCTAGGCAGACACCGTGTTTGAAGCGCAGTTTTCTAATCCTCTTAAATACAATCAGCCTATCTTGATTGTGACACTAATGTTAAATGTAATTGCAGCCATTACCAAGTAGTTTCCATAAGTGGTTTTATTACTGGTTAGATTTTACAAATTCTGGTATTCAAACAGACTTCGACCTTAAAATTCTAAAACAACAAAGCAACCAATGAAAGGTTTTGGACTATTCAAAGTAACAAACTCTAAACATTTTTGCCCTGGTCATAAATATACAGAGAGAAAAAGAGAGAAGTGGACATGGAATCCAAAGAATGTAGATAAAACAGTATATAAGGCACATGGCAGTCTTTGAAAATACAGAAGCTTTAGCCAACTTAAATTAATTGCTGTTTCCCTTGCTCAGTCCACAAAACTGTACAGTTACACAAATGTTGTGTTGCAATAGATCTTCCAAGTTATTCTTCAGTCCATACTCCATAATACCAGAACACTACATTTCCTTCTGTTTTTTAGGAGAGATCCTAATTGTGGTTAGTCAGTTGCTCAAAGCCTCTATTAAAATACACTTGGAATTTCAGCTAAGAATAATTTCTTTTTTAAAGAAATTATTAAGAAAGAGTCATCAGAAAAGATTTGTAAGGGTTGTCTGTGAAGGACTTCGAGATTCATGAACCTCAAGACTTCCGGGCACTGATGTCAAGACAGATGTCACAGTAGGCATAGTAGGATTAGTCAAGTCCGTTAAAGTAGTGGGAGTGCTGGATGGACTCATGGAGGCATTGGATATTTCTGAGGCAGGACCTGATGGGGTCCCTGCTTGGAGTGCTGAGTCTGAAGTCTTATCCACCCCTGTGTTTTCTTGACGTAAGAGGTTCCGTCTGAATTTGGCTCGAGCATTTTGAAACCAAACCTGAAATAGTTTAATATAACAGGGTAGCATTTAAAGAGCTGCAGTGTTTAAAAAAGCAAAATCATACTCACACATTCACCAACACTTGAATTGGGGAAGTTGTTTTTACTGGTAACATGTTAGAAACGTAGCCCCAGTGATGAGAAGCATCCT